TACATTGTAAGAACCTTTGTAAAAGCTACAATGTACCCCCACCCAGCACACACACACACACACACAAAAGAAAAAAGATAAAAGTTAGCATGACCCCCCCATCTCAATCAATAAGCCAGGTGTGGTGGTGTGATATGTAATCCCAGCTGTATGAGAGAAAGAATTGAGGTTAAGAGACCAGGCTGTGGCCTGGTTCAAGTGGTGCACGAGGCCAAGTTTGGACGTGTTGATGCAGCCAGGGTATTGCAGGACCCTTGAGGTCTGGAGAAGAGGCTGCCATGGCCTTGGGGAGTCTGTGTTCTTGGGGTACAGCGTCACCCACAATCCTGGCAGGCCTCAGCCAACTTTGTCAGGAAAGGTTTGGGAGCAGTGTCAACATCTCAGCTTTCCCAGGCTTGTGTGGCTTGTATGACAATTATAACTGTCACTAAGCCATAGATGGTGATGGCTCCTGAAAGATGCCACAGGCAGTGTAACACATGGTGGGCCTGGTTCCAATAAAACTTTATTCACATAAACAGGCGTCCAGGTCTGCGGTTCTACAGCCAGGACCTACGCTAGCAAGCTTGGCCCGTCAGCCGGGAGTGAGGACTCGATTTGGCCTCTGGACAATCCCTTCCTGGACACTGGGCACCTTTGGGGGTGTGGAACACACAGCTCGGAGCCCAGGGGCTGCTGTGGAAAAGTGGGGAACACAAAGCCTGTGAGCTGTTTGGCAGTGTCTTACCTGGCCAGCCCAAATCCTCCACCAGTTTTCCTTATTTATCTTTATTGTTTTCTCTCTGTCTTCTTGAATGCAAGCCCATGGCGCAGGGCTTTCTGCATTTTAGGCTCAGGGTCACATGCCAGAGTCTGCGACAGTGGTGCTTGACAATTTGGGATTGAAATGGGTGGGTGGGTGGATGGATGGGTGGATGGGTGGGTGGGTGGATGGATGGGTGGGTGGATGGATGGATGGGTGGATGGGTGGGTGGATGGGTGGGTGGATGGGTGGATGGATGGGTGGATGGATGGATGGATGGATGTGGATGGATGGAATGGATGGGTGGATGGATGGGTGGATGGGTGGATGGGTGGGTGGATGGGTGGATGGGTGGATGGGTGGGTGGATGGATGGGTGGATGGGTGGATGGGTGGGTGGGTGGATGGATGAGAGTGTGGATGGGTGCATGGATGGATGGTTGATGGATGGGTGGGGTGGATGCATGGTGGAGTGGATGGGGCGGGTGGGTGGCGTGGAGTGTGACGGTGGGTGAGTGGGTGGATGGGTGGTTGGATGGGCACAGCCATAAGGAAAGACAAGAGAACACATACATTCCTGTGATGTCTGGCATTTTGGTTGTACCTCGTCCATCTGGGCCTGTGTGTGGGCCTCTCTTACGTATGCTGCAGCCCTGCCCCTCCCCTGTGGGAGGACACCCCCCGCCCTTTGCCGGTCTGTTTTCAGCTCTGCATAGTGCAGCACACAGGATGGTTTGTGAATGTGGGCCAAGGTTTTGTTTCCGGAAGACACTACGAGGTGCCGGCCCGGCCCACGCCCCGCACAGATGGTGGTATTCCCGGGAAGCGGCTGCCAGAGCTGGCTGCGGGAAGGGCTCGGGTGTAATTGTGAAGGATTGCAGCAGTGTGAGAATGAATCAGCCACCCGAGGCTGGGAGCAGAGCTCCCAACTGTCTGCTATTGAATGGAAGCTGCTCTCGCCTCCTCTCTGGTCTCTCAGCTTCTCTGGTGGGAGTTCCCTGGCGGCCGCTGGTGCACTGGGCCAAGCTCGGCAAGCGTGCAGGGAGGGTAGAGGCCACAAGGACCATGCTGTCCACCATCTCCCAGCTCATCCGCACCTATGTTGGGTGACCCTTCCCAGACAAGCGGTTTCCCTGTGTGAGAGGCAAATCAATCCTGGAGAACAAGGCTGTGCCAATGAACCTGACCCAGGTTCAGCTACAGCTGGAAAGTGGCCAATGGGCTGAGGTCAGACCCACGTTCTCTCCATCCTGGTCTCCACGGCCTCTCCCAGCCCGCAGTGGGCACTGGGTACCTGTCGCAGCACGTGTGCCAAACCCAGCTCCCTGTCAGTCTCCTCCTTCCTCCTTGGGGCCCTCAATCACCGCTTGCTTCACAGTGCGTCACTGAGGTGTTTATAAGCGAGCGAGAGAGCTAGGCCAGCCTGGGAACGAGGTCCAGCTGGCTCCCATGTGAGTGGCTTCCCGAGGTTTTAAGGATTTAGGATTTAAGAGGCGAGTGTCCCTTAAATCAGGTGTGACGTATGGACGAGCTCACGGAAAAGGGTGCCCACATTCTGATCAGGCTCCTGCGTTCACAGCAGGTTAACTGCAACCCCAAGGACCCCGGCTTGCTAAGTGTGGAAAAGGACTTGGAGTTGTCGTTTCAGCAGTGGGACAAACGCCATGTATGTCCCTTTCTTTTGGATTTGTGACTTAATTCCGACATTCCTTTGTTGGCACACCACACAGAGCAGGCGCTGGAATGGGGAGCGGTGTGGTGCCCATGTGAAGCAGGTAACAGATGGCAGGTACTGTCACATTGAACAGGCGCGGACCACGAGATGTACCTCCTCATGTCTGTCCCCAGTCCATCCCTCAAAGCCAGCTGCCAAGGTGGGCTTAGGCACTACGTTGGGTGACATTTGTGCACCATTGACCCCAGCTCAGCAGTGGTGGTTCTGGTAACTTGATTCCCAGGGAATCACACAGAGATGTTGGTCACTTGTCACTCATGTGCCAAGGTGAGCCAGCAGGCACAAGGTTCCTGGGGTCACGGCAAGTGGAGAGCCCCCAAGTGGGCCAAGATAAGGGCCCAGGTGCTCTGGCGGGAATATCAGTTCATCTTCTAGCTGAGCTGTGGTTCTGCCCTCCAGTGGCCACACACAGCAGTAGCCACACCACAGCCTCTCAGTGTCCGTCCCAACTGCTTAGTGTCACAGGTTGACAACTTGAACTTGTCTTGTGCCATCTGAGAAGAGTGGGTGTCTCATCTGTTTCAGTAATTGTGCATTTAGTGGCTCTATCTGAGACCCTGCGGGGCTCAGGGTAAACCAGAGGACAGGGCGGAAATATCACGTCCTGTGGCTGTGACTGCATATCTGTGAGCGTCTGAGTGTCTGTGATGCTCAAGAGCATGGCTGGAGGGGGGGTGGGTTGCACCAGGTTGGTGGGCAGAGATGTCTGAGCTGGGTGGGTTTGTGTCTGTGTATGAGCAAGGGCAGTTTCCAAAAAGCAGCCATGGCAGGTGCAAAGGCCCTGGGGGCAGCATTTGGGGACCTCCAAGGGTTGCCATGTGCAAATCCCTCTGAACAAAGGAAGGGTTCCCAAATCAGCCGACACTTGGAGCACTCAGCATCACTGTCTCCAGGATGATAGCACTGTATAGGACCTCAGCAGTGAGCCCTCCTGGCGTGCGCTCAACATGTCTGTTATAAGCGGAGGGACAACTTGTCACGCAGGGCTGGCATTGCTGTGTGTGTGTGTGTTTGGGTGGAGGTCATACACAGCACTGTGAGCCCCACGATGGCGGGGACATGCCCGGTCCATCTTTTGCACACATAGGTGCTGAGCAGAACTGGGGGCTCTCACTGAACCCGACATTGTTGGTGCACACGTGTGCACGTCAGCGCAAAGCAAAAGAGAAGGAGTGAATCTTAGATGCTGGACTCGGTGCCAGCTACGCAATTGGAACCCGAAAGCTCTCACCGTCTGTGTCGGGGCTGCTGGAAGGAGCTGCGGAGCCAAGCTGTCCCCTGTTCTGTCCCCAGCCTCAGTCTCCTCCCCCTGCCTCTGCACCAGGGTGTGCGGTGCGCCCCAACCCTGACCTCTGGCTCTCCAGGCCGGCCAGCTCGGGTAGGTGCGGTGTGTGTGGACCCGAGTGTGGGCTGGAGCGGAGGGAGCAGGGGACTCTCCCCTCTGAGTCCTGGCAGTGCCCTGTGCAGGGCCAGGCCAGGTGTGCGTCCCCAGCGGCGGACTGGCTCTAAGGGGAGGGACCCTGGGGTCTCTGTGGATGGAAATCCTCCAGTCCGTGGATCTTCCAGATCTGTCCTGTGATTGCGTCTGACGGTGCTCTCTGGTTTGGAGAGATGGCACTGTCAGCACCGCCGCGCGAGGAAGGGAGGAAAATGCCAGCTCTGTCGGCCTTTCTTCCCCACAGGCTGCTGCGTGAGTCAGAGCCGGAAGGCTGCGTTTCACTGAAATACCTTCTTTTTTAGGCCACGTAGACGGGGGCTGGCTGGGCGGCAGGTTTTCAGGGAAAGACAACACTGGCGCGAAGGGGGCTTGTGTTTTGTCCGGCACTTTTTAAATACTGTTTGAAAGGGGTTGATGGATCAGGACGGGAGGCCAGGCTGAGGCTGTGTGATGACTAGCACATCGGGGGACCTCTCTGGGCTCTTTCCCTGAGTCTCCTTCAGGCAGAGGGCAGAGGGTGATTCCTGCCTCTTGGAGGTGGAGGAATTCATGAGAGATGAGCCTCGTACCCAGACCAACAAGAGGCCCTGGGGCCACAAAGTGAGACCTGACCACTGTCCCCGGGGCGGCATGTCACTCATGGCCTGACTTCCACTCAGCAACTCTTCTCCCTGTTCAGAACATGAAGGGCGCTGGGGTGCGGCCCAGTGGTGAGCGCTTGCCTAGCATGCAGAGGACCTGGGTTCGATCCCCAGCACCGCAGCTAAGACAGGTGTTTAGCAAAGCCACAGACAGAGGGAAAAGTGGAGGCATTGGTAGTTAATGGTGCCTGTAAGGGGAAAGACAAGAGACTGAGGGCAGCTGGGGGGGTGGCCGAGGCCTGGGTCCCCTGCCAATCACTAGCTCTGTGATTGCAGGGACGCCTGCCTTGGTGGCTGTGTGAGCCAAGCCTGGTTACTGACCGTCTCTGTTCAGCACAGGGTGGTGGCAAGGACCAGTGGGATGTGATGTGGCAGCTGTGCAATGGGCAGCAGTCGGGGTGACAGTCGGGGTTGGGGAGCAGGGGCTGCTCACCTCTCACCTGGGACTGTGTGGATCTCCTCTTGGGCTCTTGCTCCCAGGCGCCCCAGGCCTGTGCTTTGCCTCTCTGAGCCGCCTTCCTGATCCCAGCCGAGCTCTCTGTCCCATGAGACCTGCCCCTCACCCCTTGCACTGGGGAGGAAGGAAAGGAGCGCTTGGGTGCATTCCTGACCCCTCTGTCGGGAGCGAACTTCAGAGCTGACCATGCATCCCTCCCCACTCCACGGGAGGATGTGCGCTCACCAGACCACAAAAGAGTGGCGGCCCCGGCCCCCAAACCTTCCCTCCGCCTCAAGCCAGACACCTCTGCTAAATTCACTAATTCACCTTTTCCATTTCTTTCTTTCTTTTTTTTTTTTAAGCAGTTGCTATTCCCTTTCCAATGTTCTCAGTCCTCACGGATCTACAACCGTAACCATGGTGACACGAGTTGAGGTTGGCTCCATCGCGTCCCTGACAGTGGTGCCAGGCCTCGGTGACATCAGCAAGGAGGAAACCCTGAAGCGGACGTACTTCTGCCAGACCAGCGACACCTCTGGGACCCCCTTGGCCCGGGTCCGGGAAGGGAAAAGTGTGCTCAGGAGCTCAGCCACCTCGTTCCCTTTGCCCAGACTGGCCCCGAAACCCTTCTCCAAGGGGCCTGCCCCCGACGGCAGAGGCCTCAACCTGTCTGTGCAGCCCAGGCCGGACAGGGGTGCCTCTGCTGGCATCTTTCACCTGGTGGCCACGGAGAACCTGGAAGACAGGATGCCCAGCTTGGTGGGGCAGGAGGCAGGTGGCGACGAGGCTGCGAGGAACGGCCCACGTGGGGCCGGCAAGGTGATGGACCTGTGGCCCAGCCCCAGCCCTGTGACTCTCTTTGAAACCAACAAGGCCAGCCCCACCCTGGGGACAGGGGCCAGCCAGAGGATGTGGGAGACCAACGCGGGTGTGTCCCAGGAGCCTCCCTCCAGCTGCCGGCCCGAGGTGGCCCCCAAGCCCACCTTGCCTTCCCGGAAGCCCCCTGGGACCCTTCCCCGACCGGCCTCCCTGTGTCAGGACACGAGATCCACCGCACTCCCAGATGAAGCAGGCCAGGGCCGGCCTCTGCCAAAGGCCTGCAGCATGGAGGACACAGCAGGACACGCCCCGCTGGAGCCCAGGCCTCGTACCAAGAGGAGGCCAGTGTCGGCCATCTTCACCGAGGCCCTTCAGCCTCTGAGGCCAGGCGCAGATGGAGAGGCCGTGGGGGAAAAGGTGGCTCCTGAGAAGACGTGGGTGCGGAAGCCCAGGCCCCTCTCCATGGACCTCACAGCCAAGTTTGAGACCAGGGAGGCCCTGATGAGGAAGGGGGCCGAGGAGGGGACCAGGGCACAACTCCAGGGGCCACAGGAGACCGACCTGGAGCCCAGGGTGGACGGGGCAAACGCCGTCCAAGCAGAAGCCCTCCCACAGGACCCGGACTCAGACTTCCTGCAGGTGGCCAGGAAAATCCACGAGCAGAAGGACCAGGGGGCAGAGACAGCCCGGCTTGTTCCCAGGGAGGATCGGGGTCCTCAGGAAGAGAGAGTCAGGCCAGACCCCAAGCCAGAGAAGGTGCCTGAGGCCCCTTTGTCCAGGCCAGGAAGAGGCCTGGGGCCTGTGGAGGTCAAGAGCGGAGGGGCCGACCAGGGGCCCTCAGAGGGGGCCCAGTGGACATCCAGGGGCAGCGTCAAGAAGCGTCTCAGCCTGTTTGAGGAGGAGAGCTTCCTGGCCTCGGCCTTGGGATCTGAACCCTCCGCAGCTGCCTCCGAAGCCCCAGTGGCAGTGCCAGAGCTGGAAAAGGCGGGTGTGAGTGTCCAGGCGCGGATCAAAGGCTGGGCCGCCAACAGCACAGAGGGGAAGCCGGAGATCAGGAGGGGGACGCTCCAGGCGCGGCCTCTGTCGGCGGATTTGACCAAACTGTAAGTGGGCACATCCCACACACCACAGCCTCCCAGGGAAGGGGGCTACAAGGACCCTGGGGCTCTGTGCCTGGCACCTTCTGCCCCTGCCCTCAGTTTCCCGAGAGGGTTGGTTGAGTTTCCAGCTCTACATGGGAAGCTGGGCTGCGGAGCGGGAGTACAGACCCCAGCAGTGGGGCTCAGGGCTCACCCGCCCCCCAGTTGTCACTCGCCATGGGAGTTCAGGACAGGCATCGCCCCCTCAAGGTCAGCATCCTTCAGATTAGGTGGTCAGAGTCTCAGACAAGTCGCTGCCCTCCTGTGCCTCCATGTCGTCCCTCTGTGAAGGATGGAGGTAAAAACTCAGGCAGAGCCCTGCCGGCCAGCTGTGGTCGTCTAAGCTCGGCCCAGCGTCTCTGCCTGCGTAGTTTTCCCACACGTGGTCGCACGGGCCGATGCCACCGGGTGGCTGTGACCCTCAGGTGAATGTCATTCTGGCCACCCACATAGGGGACCTGTCCTCCCGGCCCTGGGAACCAGGGCAGCCAGCTGGGCCAGTGTCAGACCCATGGCTCTCAAATCACTCAGAAAAACACACAGGTGGGACCCAGCCCCAGGGTTTCTGATTCGGGTGTCCTGGGAGGGCTCAAGCTTTGTGAGTTCTTAGAACCACCCCTGAGCTGACATAGCAGAGGAGAGGGGACCTAGGCCAGGGACCCCACACACCTGTCACTGTGCCCTCTGGGGCCTGGCAGCGGCCCCTGCTTATCTGACAGATGGGGAAACTGAGGTATCACAGCCTCACGTCCCCCCCTGGAAGCAAACGCTGGATCACCATGTAGGGTCAAGGTCAAGTGGTCTGATTTTTCTCCCCACCCTGGTCTCCAGAGCCCCCAGTCCATGCCGCTCCAGCCTATACCCCAAAGAACACACTGAGGATGGACAGATTCTGGTCCCCACTTATCTGTGGGGAAGGCAAAGCCCAGGGAGGCCGCGACAAGCCTGGGTCCCCTCAGTCCCTGAGGCCCGAGTCTTGTGGCCAGCCTGCTGTGGGGTGGGTGTTGTGCCCTGGTTGCTAAGCAGAGCCATTAATTACCCCTCCCGGGGCATCTTCCTCTTCCAGAACGCCCTCAGTAGCTATTAGGGCCACGGTGGCCTCTTATCTGCCCTGTGCAGGCGGCGGGAGGTGTTAATTATCTCGCTTTATAGGTCAGGAAAGAGGCTGGGTGAGGTCACAGCCCCAGCCTCAGTCCCTGGAGGGGCTGCAGCTCCATCCCATTCCCGGTGTCTTGTCCCCAGCTCGGTCCTTCCACCCCACCATGCTGTGCTTAAGGTAGGCCCTTCTCCTGGTGGCTGGAAAGGACGTCCTTTCCCAAAGGTGATGGCCAGGCCCGTTCTCCCCCGAGACCCTGGCCTGGTGGTGGTGTGTGGGCTGAGGGATGGCATGGCTGCTTGCTCCGTGTGGATAACTCGGATCTCTGTTCCAGGTTTTCAAGTTCAGCTCCAAGCAGTGAGGTCAGACATGAGAAGTGCGCCACGCAAAGTAGCGAGCTTCCCAGCGAGCAGAGAGAAAAGGTAAGCTGTCGCCGTGTTGTCGTTTTGTTTCTCTGAGGGAAGGTCACACTGGAAGCAGGGCAAGAGCACCACAAGTGACACCAACAAGAGGACTTTTTCTCTAACATTGGGACTTTGTGGTTGGTTTTTTTTGGGGGGAGGGTGGTGGTGGGGTTTGAACTCAGGGCCTTGAAGTTGCTAGGCAGGTGCTATGCCACCTCAGCCTTTTGCTCTGGTTAATTTGGAGATGAGGTCTCGCTGTTCGCCAGGCCGGCCTGGACCCTGATCCTCCTACTTTACAGTTCCCTCTGCGGCTGGGACGACAGGTGCACACCACCACGCCCAGCTTTGTGCTGTTGAGATGGGGTCCAGGCCTGGGTCCTCCCGATCTCGGCCTCCCGAGCGGCTGGAGGGACAGGTGTGAGCCACCGTGCCCGGCCAACGTGGGGACTTTTAAGTCGCATCTGGCATAATGGGTTGATGCCCTACTCCTCGTGTCGGGCGCCGTCTCCCCACGTCATGATCACCCTCACGGGCAGGTGCTCATTCCTCGTGGGAAGAGGTGGAGGGTCCCCGCTGTGGGAGTCACACAATTTCAGCGTCAACAACTCTCACTCCTCCTCACCTTGATTTGCCACCAGCAGTAGACACAGGAAGGAACCTGGTGGCAATTGCGTGGTCTGTTTAATAAGAAAGCGCCCGTCAGGTAGCCCTGGGCCTCCCTGGCTGTGGTGGACGCTGTCCGCGGGTTCAGTGTCTTTGAGTCGATGTGCAGCTCACACCCGAAGAAAGCCTACAGGTGGACGAGTGTCCACGTGTGTGTGTGAGTCCCGGGAAGCCCTTCCAGGGTCAGGACGATGACATCTGTGTCCGTTCAAACCTCTTCCCCCTCCACCTTGTGCCTCAGTGGCCACCCGTCTGTCCCCCAGGCTTAGTGTCCATTTCTAGACACCTCATGCATGGAGCTTAATCATTTTGGGATGGCGTGGGGGGGGTCACATCTACAATCCCAGCTACTCAGGAGGCTGAGGCAGGGGGATCATGAGATCAAGGCCAGCCTAGGCTGTGCAGCAACACCCAGTCTCAAAAAGCAAAATGAGGGGCTGGCGGAGAGGCTCATATGGTAGAGCACCTCCCTCGCAAGAATGAGGCCCTGAGTTCAAACCCCAGTGCTGCCAGAAAGAACTGTAAAAAAACAAAAAGATCACCACAGGTCTGTTGCCCTGACCTAAGTCCTCTCCTGCCCAGGTGTGTGTCAGGCCCTCAGGTTTCAGGGTTAGTTCCCTGCGTCACGACAGACGGCGGTCACCTCTGTCCCCTCCCTCCCTCCATTCCCAGGCTTTTAACAACACTTGTTCTTTTTCAGCATGGTTCTTTTTCTCCTGCCCCAAGAAGCCCCTGGAAGCCCGGGGTGCCCCAGAGGACATCTGGGCAGACGGAGAACAAAGGTGGCTCTGGCCAGGACCCCAGTGGCCGTCGGGGAGAAAGCTCAGTCCCTTCTCAAGTTAGTCCCGAAGACGACGGGAGCTTCCAGACTGTGTGGGCCACAGTGTTTGAGCATCACGTGGAAAGACACACGGTGGCCAGCCAGTCCGGACTGGCCCCAGCGCCTCGTGAAGTGACCAACGTCTCAGAGCCCAGAGTCAGGCCAGAGAAGGGCGCCTGGAGCGAGCTGGACCAGCCAGAAGTGACGAGCCCCAAGAGGGAGAGCGCCAGGTGGCCCGAAAGCCCCGAGCTGGGGAAAATGGGACAGGCATCCCTGAGGCAGCGGCCAGCACCCGTCATGGAGCGACAGGCCTCGGCCCAGATACCCAGCCTCGACCTCCCCGTCACGCACACGGACGGCGCCCCCTCCTCCCGCAGGGTCGAGCCCAGGTACGATGTCCTGCACACCAGCGGGGAGCGAGCGCACAGCGAGGCCATCACCACCGCCCTGGAGGACACAGCAGTGACCCTGCACAGTGGCAGGTCCCAGCTGTCGCTGCAGGACCGGCAGCCATCCCAGGAGGCTTTCCCAGTGAAACATAGCCCTAAAGCCCACGTGGGGTCCGTCCAAAGGGCCAGCTTGATTTGGGGAGCTCGAGGGCAGGAGGCCAGCGGGCCTAAGCCCAGCTATCGAGAGCCAAAGGACACTCTTGGTGACAATCGCCTGTCAACCAGAGGGATGGGCGGGGCAGTGGTCAACTGGCATAAGCCCACTGCAGGGGTCTGCGAAGACCCCTGTCCTAAAACCACGTCCTCGAGGGCCATCAGTGAGGCCAAGCACCAGGGCCCCATCAGGATTGGAGACAGGCCAGGAGGCCACACTGACGGGGGTCCAGCTCGGAGTGGCCCCTCTTCCAGGCCCGAGGTCGAGCCCCATGACTCCCGAGCGCGGGTGTGGCCAGACACGTTGTCTGTGCACAAAGGGACTCTGGTGGCTGCCAGCGAGGGGGACCCCAGCCCGAGCCAGGTGCCAGAGCCAGAGGCCAGGATGAGGAAGGCTGGCTCGGCAGACGTCAGGGTGGACAGGTGGAGGCGGCGGACTTTACCTCATGACACCAAGTTCAGCCTCCTTGCCCCAGAGAACAGTGGCAAGGCGGAGCAGAGACAGACAGACACCTTTACCCACACGGCTGCGGCCTTAGAGAAGCCTCCTGTGTCCCCCTGCGGAGCAGGGACCCAGGAGGTGACCTCAGGTGCCTTGCAAGACCGAGCCTGCCCCAGGGGGAAGCCAAGGTCACCTGCAGAACCCAAGGCCACGTTTTTTGCCCTGACCTATCAGATCCCGGATAGGCAAAAGACAAAAAGCACAGTGAAGTCAGGGCCCGAGCGCCTGCCGGAACGTTCTGGAAACGCCGTTCCACCCCCGTCCCCGCCTGCTTTTCCACAGGCTCCCACAGGCAGTGGACACTGGGCTCAGGGGGACGAGGGCCGGAGGGCAGACCGAGCTTCACAGAGCCCGATGGCCGTGGGGTGCCCGTCATCTTCAGGGCACAGAGCTGCCCGTGTGGGCACTTTATATACCCCTTGGGGGACCAGTGATGGCGCCGGTTTTCGGAGTGACCAGAAGGACAGTGGGGTCAGGATGTCCTCGGTCAGCGCCACCCAAAGTAGCCTGGTCCTGAGAAGCCGGCCCAGCCTGCCGGTCAGGAGGAGAACGGAGGTGATCAGTGAGACGTTCCCGGGCAAAATGAGAGACGGCTACAGGTGCAGCGTCCTCGACATTGACGCCCTGATGGCCCAGTACAAGGACCAGTCGGCCAGCGCCCCCGGTGAGGCCCAGGAGCAGGACAGTCCCACCACGGAGCCCAGCGGCTCCCCGTGGGAGAGGTCAGGCCGGCTCATCGGGGCGGAATGGGGACGCAGGAGCCCCAGGGGGGCCCCCAAAGCAGAGGGTCTCTGGAAACGAGCCAGCGTGGCCGGGCCGGCCTGCAGCGGCACCCCCGGCTCAGGCCCGTGGCCAGCAGAGTCCGCGGGGGTGTCCGCCACCCCCAAGTTTAGCCCTCCTCCATGGAAGCCGTCACACTTGGCCCCTGCTGAAAGCGACCTCAGGGACAGTTCTGTCCCCGCCGGCCCTAGGAAGAAAGTCTCTGGAGCGGCCGAGGAGGAACACAAGGCCTTTGTCTGCAAGGGTCAGGATTTCCTGGCCAAGGCGAAGCCCTCAGGCCGGGAGGATCCCAGCAATGGGGCCAGAGTGTCCCCCGCCGACCAGACGACAGGGACCCCGAGGAAACCCATCGCACAGACAGAGGACGGAGCAGCCCTGCGGGGCGACCCCCACCGTGACTGTGGGAGGTCGGCGCTGGACATCAGGCGGCCCTGTTCAGACAAGGGTGCCCCCGCCAGAGTCCACGAGGGCCTGGCCGTCCTGCAGGGCGTCAAGCAGAGGAAGCTGGCACAGCAGGAAGGGAGGTCCAGTCTTCCCGAGGACACGTCGGAGGCCAGCGTGGGGCCCTGTCGGTGGGAGCCGAGGACTCCAGACCGCCACGGGGTGAGTGTGAAGCTCCCAGGGTTTTCTCAAACACCGACTGAGCATCTCTGTCCAGGGTTCAGGGTCCAGGGTCCAGGGTCCAGGGTCGCAGACTCAGATCTGAAGTGGTAGAGGAGTGGCTGGAGTCGCCTGGGTGTGGGGCTATGGGGAGCGGTGGGGAGTGAGGCAAATGGGGAGGTCAGGCCCTGTTGGGTGGGTGCCTGCCACTTGGTTCTGGCGGGTTCTTGGCAGGTGACAGTGGTGGCCCTTTATTAGGTGTGATCCCCCCTCCAGGAAGTAAGGGAAACTCCCTCAAAAACATATCCTGTCCAAGCCAGACAAGCCTGCTAGCCCGGGGCCACCAGGTTCCGCCACCCTATGTCTGGAATGGCGGCAATGAGAGTCACCAGGAGAGCTTTGAGGAGCCCCTGTGTCCTCTGTTGTACCCCGCAGCCAACCCCGCGCCCATCACGGGCTCCGCGTGCTCTGAGCCTCCCTGGATCCCGCGGTCACCATCAGACACTTTCCTGGACACCCGTCATGTGTCCGCCACCGCTCAGGTGTGCAGGTGCCAGACCCCTCCGAGGGCCCCTGTCCTGGGACACAGCAGCCACGTGTGGGAACTCACTGATTTTTGCTGGGGGTCAAAGCCAAGGCCCACATCAGCCACCCGAGCTGTAGCCCAGCCCCTGGGGACATCCCCTCTGTCACCTGGGCATCTCTGGGTAGAGGCCACAATGGTGTCTGACCCCTGACTTGCGGATCCTGCCCGAGCCCCCATTGTGTCTGCAAAATCACCCCGTATTTTTAAATTAATTGCTGCAAAGTATTTTCTTGATCAACCTCACCCCAATCTCTCCCCCTATCTCTTTCTCCCCCTATCTCTCTCTCCCTCTCTCTCCCTCTCTCTTCCCCCTTTCTCCCTCCCTCTCTCCCTCCCTCCCTCTCTCCCTCCCTCCCTCCCTCTCTCCCTCTCCCTCTCCCTCTCTCTCTCTCCCTCCTCCCTCTCTCTCTCCCTCTCCCTCCCTCCCTCTCCCTTTCTCCCTCTCTCACTCTCCCCCCCTCTCTCCCTCCTCTCCCTCTCTCCCTCTCTCTCTCTCCCCCCCTCTCTGTCCCCCTCTCTCTCTCTCTCCCTCCTCCCTCTCTCTCTCCTCTCCCTCCCTCCTCTCCCTTTCTCCTCTCTACTCTCCCCCCTCTCTCCCTCCTCCCTCTCTCCCTCTCTCTCTCTCCCCCTCTCTGTCCCCCCCCTCTCTCTCCCGCTCTCTCTCTCCCTCTCCCTCTCTCCCTCTCTCCCTCCTTCCCTCTCTCCCTCCCTTTCTCCCTCTCTCTCTCTCTCTCTCTCCCTCTCCCTCTCTCTCTCTCTCTCCCACCCTCTCCCTCTCTCTCTCTCCCTCTCTCTCTCCCTCTTCCTCTCTCCCTCTCTCTCAACTGGCATTTGAATTCAGGGCCTCGTGCTTAAGCCGCACCCTTTTTGCTTCAGGTATTTTTCAGATAGGGCCTCTCCCTTTTGCCCACTCTGGCCTCAGACTGCAGTCCTCCTCCTACCTATGCCTCCATGTAGCTGGGCTTATAGGCGTGCACCACCGTCCCCAGCCCATCTTTGCTCTCTTGGGAGAGGGTCTCTTTATTTACCCCCAAAAGGGTGTGTTGTAACTAAGTTGATTGTACTTTCCTCCTCCCTTCCTCTCCTCCTTATTCATTTAACAAATAGTTCCTGAAACTTTCCCCAGGCCTGATAATGGTCTTTGATTTACTTCATTTATTTATTTTAAAATACTTAAAAAGGGTAGAAAAAATTCTCTGCATGCCTCTCTTCCTCCTTAACCCTCCCCGCCCAGGCATCACTCTCGTCCTTCTTTTGGTCCAAACACTGTGAGGGTTTCTTTCTGAAAACGCTCTGACCAGACCAGAGTCTTGGGGTCGGTTCAGGCTCTTTGTTCAGTGCACGTCCTCCTCCTCCTCCCCCTCCATCTCCTCCTCCTCCATCTCCTCCTCCTCCTCCATCTCCTCCTCCTCCTCCTCCTCCATCTCCTCCTCCTCCTCCTCCTCTCCTCCATCTCCTCCTCCTCCTCCTCCTCCTCCTCCATCTCCTCCATCTCCTCCATCTCCTCCTCCATCTCCTCCTCCTCCCCCTCCATCTCCTCCATCTCCATCTCCTCCTCCTCCATCTCTCTCCTCCTCCATCTCCTCCTCCTCTCCTCCTCCATCTCCTCCATCTCCTCCTCCTCCTCCTCCCTCTCCTCCTCCTCCTCCATCTCCTCCTCCTCCCCCTCTCTCCTCCTCCTCCATCTCCTCCTCCTCCTCCATCTCCTCCTCCATCTCCTCCTCCATCCTCCTCCTCCTCCTCCATCTCCTCCTCCTCCATCTCCTCCTCCTCCATCTCCTCCTCCTCCCCCCTCCATCTCCTCCTCCTCCATCTCCTCCTCCTCCTCCATCTCCTCCTCCCCATCTCCTCCTCCTCCATCTCCTCCTCCTCCTCCCATCTCCTCCTCCTCCTCCTCTCCTCCTCCTCTCCTCCTCCTCCATCTCCTCCTCCCCTCCATCTCCTCCCCTCCATCCTCCTCCTCCTCCATCTCCTCCTCCTCCTCCTCTCCTCCTCCATCTCCTCCTCCTCCATCTCCTCCCTCCCCTCCATCTCCTCCCCTCCATCTCTCCCCTCCATCTCCTCCTCCTCCATCTCCTCCTCCTCCATCTCCTCCTCCTCCATCTCCTCCTCCTCCTCCTCTCCTCCTCCTCCATCTCTCCTCCTCTCCTCCTCCTCCATCTCCTCCTCCTCCATCTCCTCTCCTCCCCATCTCCTCCCCTCCTCCATCTCCTCCATCTCCTCTCCTCCTCCTCTCCTCCATCTCCTCCTCCTCCTCTCCATCTCCTCCTCCTCCTCCATCTCCTCCTCTCCTCCTCTCCTCCATCTCCTCTCCTCCTCCTCCTCCTCCCTCCTCCTCCTCCTCCATCTCCTCCTCCTCCATCTCCTCCTCCTCCATCTCCTCCTCCTCCATCTCCTCTCCTCATCTCCTCTCTCCTCCATCTCCTCCTCCATCTCCTCCTCCTCCTCCTCCTCCATCTCCTCCTCCTCCATCTCCTCCTCCTCCATCTCCTCCTCCTCCATCTCCCTCCCCATCTCCATCTCCTCCTCTCCTCCTCCTTCTCCTCCTCCTCCTCCATCTCCTCCTCCTCCATCTCCTCCTCCTCCATCTCCTCCTCCTCCATCTCCTCCTCCTCCATCTCCTCCTCCTCCCTCTCCCTCCTCCTCCACCTCCTCCTCCTCCATCTCCTCCTCCTCCATCTCCTCCTCCTCCATCTCCTCCTCCTCCATCTCCTCCTCCATCTCCTCCTCCATCTCCTCCTCCTCCATCTCCTCCTCCTCCATCTCCTCCTCCATCTCCTCCTCCTCCACCACCTCCTCCTCCTCCTCCTCCTCCATCTCCTCCTCCTCCATCTCCTCCTCCTCCTCCTCCATCTCCTCCTCCTCCATCTCCTGACCTCATATCTCAGTTCTCTTGATCTCAGCCTCCCAAGTAGCTGGGATTACAGGCGTGTGCCACCAAGCCCAGCTTTCCTTGATTTCTTAGAGGGCTTTATCGGGGATGAACCCTTTGCATCTTTGTGGTCCTGAGTTGTGTCCTGGGCAGAGCTGGGGTTAAACTTTGCCCTGTGTGACTCTGGGTGTTGGGGAGCCTCGGTTTCCTGGTCTGCAGGGTGGGGCTCCCGCCTGCCTCACAGACGTCAGAGGTGACGTGTGCTGTGGTGGAGCCTCGGATGCAGGTCCCCAGGCAAAGGATATTGAGGGAACCAGAGCGAGGCACCAGCACCTGCCCGTCTGCCCTCCATTCTTCAGTGCATTCAGCCACATACCAGGCCCAGTCCTAGTTACCAGGGTGGCTGGCAGGGACAAGATGTGGCTCTGCCACCGTCTCGGTGTGGTTATTTAAATGAGCTAAAATGCAATGTGACTGGAACTCCAGTTCCTCTGTCACCTGCCCACATTTACAGCTCACAAGCCACCTGTGGCCCTCGTGGCCACATTGACAGAAAGAGCAGTGGGCAGCCCTGGGCTGGAGGGGCAGGCAACACTAAGCCGTGAATGAACACAGCCACTAGAGAGCAAGTCCTGGGGAGAGGGGACGAGGGCCACGGAAGGTCCCAGAAGTGACCCGAACGGAGCCATCTGAAGTGACAGGGACCCAGCACGCTGAGACCTGGGAGGAGCCACATGTGCCAATGGCCCAACATGGACAGAGCTTGTCCTGTGGACCCTCAGGGGCCTCAGCAGGCAGGGGAGGGGACGGTGGGGGCAGCCAGGATGGAGAGACTAGACCATGAGGCCTGGCAGGGTCACCCGGGAGCCACCAAAGTGTCCTGAGCTTGGCTGTCACCACTGTCTTAGACACCACCCACCCCCCATTGGCTGTGCTAAGCGTGGGCCGAGGGGATGAAGGTGGAGGCAGGGAGGCCAGCTCAAGGATCGAGGCTGCCCAGTCCACACCAAGGCGCCGGGTGGTGGCCGTGGGGAGTGGAGAAGTGGGGCACACCTTAGGGGGCCCTTGGTGCCATGACCATCTGCCCGCTGGACGTGCACAGTTAGGAAGGTTCAGACGTGCTCAAGAGTCTTGCAGCCCCATGGAAGGAGCAGCGGGATCGGGATCCAGTGTGCCGGGGAGGCTGCCTGTGCCAAGCCGTGCCGTTCCCGTGAATCTGAGCGCGTGTGTTTGGATGGTGACAGTGGCCTTTGAAACACCACTGGAAGTCACCCCTGACATCCATGGAGGCCCTGGGTGCAGATGGTCAACCACCACCCCCTGGTGGCTGTATGAGGGTCCTAGGATCTGAATCCACCCTGGACTCCAGCTGTGACGTCAGGGAGTCTTACATCACTGAGGCTCAGAGAGGTCAAGGAGCTCAGCTGAGGTCACACAGGCGCCAGTGGCTGAGCCCAGACCCTCAAGTGGCCTCTGCTCATTGTGGCACAGGTGGCTTCATCTTCTTTGCCAGAATGGACCTTGGTGTGACGTGGGTCTCTCTGTGTTCTCAGGTGTCCCTGGGGGACCTGAAGCAGGACAATGGCTCCCAGGACAATGAGCAGCCTCTCCGACCAGCATCCCCTGTGACCGCCGGCCCCCAGAGAAGCCAGAGCTTCTGCAAGGACAAGAGGGAAGGGCTGATTGTGGTGAGTGACCGGGGAACAGCGTGAGGAGCTCGCAGGCCAGCAGGTCGTGGACACCGTGGGGCTCATGTCCCCCAGAGGGTCGAGGCCAGCTGGGCCTGAGTGGGCAGGGTGGACGCCGCGTGGGAACCCGGCTGTCTGGCTGTTGCTCTGGTCACTACATGGAGGGTGTTTGGTGGCTCCGTTGAGGACACGGTCCCAGCTCTCGGGTTTCTTGCCCAGCATGGAGAGGCCACTCCAGCTGCTCGCACAAATGGTTCAGAAAGCACTGGCACTGAGGGCTGAGAGTTCTGGGTTCGAATCCAGCACCATCTGTTCTCAGTGGAGAGTTTGAGCGTTTTATGCTCTCTCTGCACTTGGGCCAGAAAACGGGGTGTAGATCCCTTTCCTTTAGCCTGGGGCAGGATGGAGAGGAGAGCATGTGGGGCAGCACCAAGTGACGCACCGGCAATGGATAGCTGTAGTGATGGGGGAGGTCAGCAGAAGCTGGCCATGGAGCCAGAGGGCGGCATGTATCCATGTGCTGGACAGGGCTCTGGCCCGGCCTCCTCCAGCCACTCTCTGTTGATCTTCTCGGCTCTGTGGCATTTGGAGGCTGCCAAGTGTCACAGGGTCCCACACAGGGCATCCAGGGTAGCTGGCCGAGGTGTAGGGCGAGGCGAGGTTCACACGGTTCCTGTGTTCCCCTGAGATCTGAAGCTCAGGACCCTGTACTTGATCCTTGGTCCATCCCTTCCAGTTCCGTGGCCAAATTCCCCTCCCTGGGTGTCCTCGGTGTCCCCCGCTGTGAACTGGTGAGAGGACACTGCAGGGTTTGAACCGGTCAGCAAGTGACCATCAGAAGGCAAAAGCGCCTCCCCGTGGGGCCGGGTGACTGGCGTGGGGACTCAGCCCTCAGCCCTCAGCCCACCTGGGCTGTGCAAACGCAGCCCTCTCTGTGCCCCTGTCCAGGGCAGCGGCTCACCTGACCTGACCGCACGTGAGCCTCGTGTGCCCGCAGGCAGAGGCCGTGGGGAGCAAGCATTTTAACCCTGGCTTTTTATAGCCGCCTGTTGGTGTCCTCCCTGGCCCCCGGCTGCCCCTCTTTCAGTCTGGGTCACTGGGGAGCCTTCGACCTTGGCATCCCCCAGTGGCAGCTGACCTTGGCCCCTCCTTCTGGCCCCTGTGCCTGCCTGGTTTCCCCTCCTCTGGGGGTGGACGGCTGTGGCCTAGACCACATTCCTCCATGCTGGGCTCCTGCCTGCAGTCCTGAGGGCGGTCACCAGGGGGCAGTGCTCAGCTCCTGGTGCCTCCAACAGCCCAAAACATGGGTTCAAATCCCACCTCTGCCACTGTGCGATCTTAGGCTTGGGCTTAGTGACCTCGTGTAAGAAGAAGATGATGTTGAGTGTCTTTGTGGGCAGTAAATGAGGTCACCTGGCTCGTGAATTAACGCCTCAACCATAGCGGCAGTTTTTTCTTCCTTCTCCCCTCTACTGCCCCCTTTCCACTCTTCCGTCCAGCTCTCTACGTGAGGGAAACTGAGGCCCAGAAAGAGGGCCTGACTTGGCCAGGGTGACCTCCACCCTGGCTGGCTTTGAACCGGGATCCTCCTGATCTCTGCCCCCTGAGTGGCTGGGATTACAGGCGTGAGCCATGGCACCTGGCCGCCTGCATTTCTTGGGCCCTGTGTCAGGCCTGTCAGCCCCACTGCGGCCCCAGTTTGCACAGGGGGACAGTGAGTGAGACTCAGGGGATCAGCCACACCTACCCAAGGCCACACAGTTGGCGTCAGCCAGCCTGGCACCTGGGCCCTTCCCCTCGCTGGGCCAGCGCCTTGGCCCCCGCCAGCCCTGCTCGCCCTCCCTGGACCCTTGGGCCTGGACGTGGTCCTCGGGCCTGAGATTAGGATTCACCCTGGGGTTGGCCACAGCCGTTCTGCTGCGCAGCAATGCAAAAGCCGCCTGGGACCTCCAGGGCCGACACCCCGAGATTCTGGGGCTCTGCCCACCCCCGGTGATCGCAGCTGGTCAGGGCGTGCACAGGGTCAGGTGGACCTTGCCGCCCACTGGAGGCCGAGAGCGAGTGGGTTTCGCGCTCTGCTAAATGAGGTTGAGGGAGGTGATGACAGCCTGTGCGGTGCTTGCTCAGCCTGAACGCTGCCATCAGCCCCACATTACAGATGGGGAAACTGAGGCCAGAGCCATTGAGTCCTCTTTTAGCTCGGGGTCTCTTCCCCAGCGGGGACCCTTGGCTGCCCTGCCCCGCGGTGTGGAGGGCGGGGGGCACCGGCTGGCTTTTCCACTGTCCTGGCTGACGGGAAGGATGGCATGCCCCGTCTTAGAAGGCTCCTTGCGGTGAGTAAACTGAGGTCTGGACGGGAAGCGTCTGGGCCAGGGCCCTGGGTGACGGGCAGAGCTGGGCTGGGGTTCGGCCCAGGCCTCGGCTGGTCTCAGCTCCCCACCCTGTTCCTTTTCGGGTCCTCTCAGCATGAGGGTCCCAGCCCCCTCAGGCGGCCATTGTACAAGTCACAGCGCGGGTGGCTCCGTTGTGTACCCCGGCAGCCGTGGGTCCCTCCACGGGGCTGGCGGCCGGCCTGGGGACCCAGGAGCCGCCATCAGCATGAGTTTGTCCTTCTGTGGGCTGACCGTGTGCCGGCCGACATGGGGGGTCCTGAGACTCCCCTCGGCCTCCTGCGACCCTCAGTCCAGGGGTCTGAAGCTGCCAGGGTTGAGTCAGGTGGGGGAGGAGGAAAGGGGGGCGTTTGGGACTGGAACCCCACATGCAAGGGCGTGGAAGAGAGCAACATGGGGCACAGGACAGCCGAGGTGAGAGCTTGGGGGGTCAGTCCTTTTGTGGGACCGGGGTTTTGTCTTGAGACAGTCTTGCTAACTCTGCGTGGCTCAGCCTTGAACTCCTGCCTCTACCTCCAGACTAGCTGGGATTACAGGTGCTCCACACCGTGGGGTGGCAGGCACAGCGGCGAATAGGTGGGTGAAGGAGAACAGAGATGAGTGGTTGCCAAGGGCTCGGACCTCTGGCCATTGCTGAGCACCGACCACGTGCCTGGCTCTGTGTCCCGTCTCCCGTCTGAAGGTCCCAAGTCCCCGGAAGGGGATCGCGTCTCCATTTGGGGAGGTTCCAGCAGCAGGGAGCTTGGTTTAAGTCTTCAAGAAGGAACGGGCGGCTGTGTCCTTTGGAGGTAATGGCGAGGCCAAGGTCGTGGGGAGAGAACACCCAGGGTCTGACCTGCAGTCCAGAGGGACTTGTGAGGCGCCTGTCACCCCAGAGTGAGCCTGTGTCACCGCCCGCGGCCGTGGCCGGCTTGCGTGGCCTCCGCAGGGAGGACTGTGGTTGAGTCAGCGCTTTCTTGATCGTGGCTCACTTTTTAGATCGATCTGTTTGTTGAGACCTAACGAACACCATGTCGTTTGTCATTCAAATGGCTTATCGTGTCCACCAAGTTGTAAAACCGTCAGCCCCAAGGTGACTCCACCTTCCCGCCCCTGGGGCCTCGTCCCTGCTGCCCCTGGGCTGACCTTCCTCCCCTGCGCTCCCCGTAATGGAGTCACGCCGCCTGGCTTCTGCGTGGCGCCTGCTGTCGTGCCATGAGGCAGGAAGTTAGTCCTTTTCAGGGCTGAATACTATTCTGCCCTGCACACTCTGCTTGCGCGTGGTTGTGGGTGGCACTGGGGCTGTGTCCACGCTGGTCCCTTTCGGGCCGCCCCACCTGCCTCTTCCCCACAACCCGACTTCCCCACTCTTCACCGCTTACTTGTTTGCCACCTGTCGGCTCCGCCTCCCCGAAAACCAGAGTGGCAGGATGACAGCACCAGAAATATTTGATGAACGAAGGGGGACGCATGTGAGTCACCAGCTAAGTAGGGGACAGGTCACTCGCCCAACAGAGGGAGGGAGCCGCTCGTCCTCCAGGGCGGGTTGCAGGGACGCCATGTCTGCTGGGTGTGACAGGCAGGGGATGGTGACAGGTGGAGCGGCAAGATGGCCCTGGCCACCTGGCAGGGGGAAGACCGGGAAGACAGAGGATTAGCGGGAGGACAGGGTTCTGAGGACACAGCCGGACTGACTCCACCACCCCATGAACCCCAGACCCCCTCTCTGGGGCGTCCCGGGGGCCAGTCCCCCTCGGCACCCATCAGCCGGGTTCCCAGCTCCTCTGCAGGCTCCTCCCAGCCCTGAGCCAGGCGGGAAGGGACGGAGCGTGGTGACGACCAGGAGCAGACAGAGGAGCCGGCCGCGGTCCATCTGCCCCGCCCCTGAGCGCTGTCCAAGCAAAAACGATGGCCTGGCTTTGACGTGACCGCGCGCCATTTTTATATGTTGGAGCAAAAACAATTTTTCTTTTAAATCTGTGTTCTGGGGGTGACAGGACAGGTCAGGCTGTGCCAGCCGCTCACTTAGGCGCCGAGGCCTGTCGGGGGCACAAGGGACCTGGGCTGAGCTCAGACGAGGGTGGCCCCTGGCCCGCGTGGGGACCCTGTGGCCCCATGGCCAGGAAGGAGGCCGCTGAGAACCTACTTCCTGTGCAGTGACCAGACGTGGCCACCAGGGGGCAGCGTGGGGGCGACCTGCTCCCCACTTCCTTCCTTGTACCTTGGCCTCAGCTCTGAACCCTAGAAACCGATGTCCCCATGTCCATCCGTCCCACTGTCCTGCCCCGTGCCGCCCAGGCCGTTTCTGTTCCGTGGACTGAAGTCAGAGCTGCCCTGGGGTTGGGCGTCCCCAGCAGGGCTCACGGTTTCGATGTGTGTGTGGGTGAGGGATAGCCCACAGTGAGAGGCCATGGATGTAGAAGTGGCCTTTCTGGCTATGTGGCCATCTGTCCAGAGATGCTGAACCGCCTACTCGAACTGAGGGTCTCTTCAGAAGAGGAGCATTTCAACATCCTTGAAGCCTCCTCCTCTCAGAAGCCCTCCAGGGTTGCGCCCTTTCCCGTGGGCCCATTACCCTGCAGTGCCACAATCCAAGTGCTTCTCTCTGTAGTCTGTGAGGCATCTGAGGGC